TTCTAATTGGGGAGGGTGTATTTTTTGTTAGTTTCTCCCTACCTCTGATACACTTTTTTATTTTATTTTTTCTCTCTAGAGACTGATCCCTTGATACGCTCAAACCTGAGGTTGGTAAATAAGGAAAAAAAATCTGGACAAGGGCATATGCAAGTTCCAAAGAGTATTTAGACTGTTTGCGATCGGGTAGATTATGGTCGACGGATCTAAAATTCTATCATCGTTGAAAGTGGGGATATTGGAAAGGGAACTGTATAGGGTGTAGAAAATCAACTATATTTCTTGTACTGTAACTCATGAATTACTGAAATTCAGTTTTTATAAAAATAATTTATTTTCCATTCAACATGTACTCTGTTGTGAAAGACAGTATTTACCCTCATATGATGACACACGTATTCAATCCGTGTCTGCAAGGCATGTCGTTCTATTTCAATAGATTTTTTGGCATGTAAGTCGTGGGTATCCAAAAGTATCCCTCCAAAAGACAAATAAATGCTTCACCGAAACGACATATTTGATACCGAATTAAATGCACGAATCATTAAAAATTTCGTGATGTTTACTGGCCTTCTTTCCAGTCTCCGCTTCGACTCCGCCATTTTCTCTGTTGCAAAGAAAAATACGCCTTTGCAAAGGAATTTAGGCTGGACCCCTTGCTGTGGCAGTCCGATATTAGTGAACAGTCTGATATTAATCGTAATATCAGACTGTCTCAGTACTGATATCCTTCAAAATTGGACTGTTACTGAACAAAAGAAATTGAAATGTGATTATTTAACAAACATCAATGTTTGATCTTAGTTATTTGTACATAATTTTGTTAAACAGAATATTTACTGATCATACAGAATTGAAAAAAAAAAGACTCATTCTGAAATAGGAAGGGATAAAATAAAAGATTAAAACAGATCTCTCTGAAGTTTTAATAAACTTGTACTTCAAGTGATGTTTTCATGCAGTACGTGTTAAAAATTCAGAAATTCCCTTATTCTGGGTTGAAAACAATGAATATTAATCCAGCAGAGTTGGCTGGTAAATCTCTCATTTGAATCATAGAAAAGTTCTTGTGGTTTTATTAGAAAATTATCCATATTACACATGCAATCCTTTATAACACAAGCCCGTTTAGTTTTTCCTTCAAGATTTTGCCCCCCTCCCCCCCCCCCCCCATTATACTCACACACATATACATACAAAACCTTAAAACCTTTTGTTGCTGCAAGGTCGAGCACTGACAAATTTCAGAATTTTTTTCTTTAGGAAAGTGTACCAAAAAGTAGAAAAAGGTTCACCCCCCCCCCCCTTCTAGAGGGCTATAGGATTTTCGGGATTAAATAGTTGAATTTTTTATTTTATTGTTGCTTGTCATATTTTTTTTAAGGTTACCACCCCCACCCCATTAAAGAGCGTTTGTTTGAACCTGTTTTTTATTTCGTCATACAATGTACTGTATGTACATGTATATACTGATTTATTGTTGTGTGGAGACTGTCAATAAAATACGGCGTCCAGCGCGCACGCTCGGCTGGCTGTCATGCATAGCATGTTGTTGTTTTTCATGTTGGTATAAAAGTAATGGAGTGAATACCTATACATTATGATAATTACGTCATATGTTACATAATAAGGGACCAGAATGCCAAATCTTTGGCACTCTATATCTCGAAAGTGGGAACTATTTTGATAAGCAATATTGAACAAAAGATGTTCAAAATAATGTTCTAAACATTATACACCCTTTCAAAAGGTCCCGAAAGGTAGGGGTCCCGAAACATCGTGCACCCGTATGAACGATTCAAAAGAAGGTAAGATGTTTTTTACATATCTAAATTAATTGAAATTTACAAAGATTGATAAATGCTTGCACGTTCACGATGTGTACACTGATCAGCTGATGTTATCTATATATTTTATAGCGTAGACTCAAACGGTAAACCCTCTGATGACATTATCTTGTAAACCTTCACTTCGAGAGCTTGTAATGTCTAAAAATACTTTATTAAATCGCATTTTACAAAGAATTTGAAATAATTGATTTTAAGGTCAGACGACACGTTCCTCAAATATCTGTTTTGTATTCCTTGGTATTATATTAAAAAAATATTCATATTGTCATTCTCTTGTGATTTCTAAATTGTTTTCAGTATGTTTTAAAAATATGTACACCAAAAATTGTGACACTGGCAATTCAGAAGATTACCCATAAGGAATATCACCCTTTGGCGTCTTGCCAAAATGTCCGGTAAGGTATCTCAATTTTTGGTGAGGAAACTTGTTTAAGTAGCTATACTTTAATGACAAATTCTTGTGAAAAATTCTACATTTTTGAGGAAATTAAGTGCAGTTCAGCTGCAGTGATAAGAGTAAAATAGTGTATGTTACATAAAATATCACACTTCGTTTTCTTTGTAAACAGTGTAGTAATGAAATTTATTTTGAGCACAATTCAACAATATGTTAGGTACTACATGGAAGACCCAAATGAAGAAAACTTGTAAATCTATTACTTGTTACTTAATTTTCATGGGTTGCGTAAATTTCACGGTCATGACAGTTAATACTCTTAAAATAACTTTAATAGGTGATGTCAAACTATTTGGCAATGATTTAATAGTTTGTATGAAATTTGGTGTGAAATCAGTTATATCAGCTTGTGAACAGCAAATGGGGAGGTAAGAATTAATAAAAAAAAAACAAAAACAAAACAAAACAAAACTTCATGGCATCTTCTAAATTTTATATTTTTCTATGAAATTGATAGGGCTAATAGAGAGTCTTATTAGAATGCAAAATATATTATTTGTTTCAAAACTTCTCAAAACTTTCAAAATATCTGTCATTTTTCACTTTGAAACGGTGGTCTCGATGGCGTAATGGTTATAGCGTGTTGGATTCACTTACTTTTTAACATGTATTACACATAAACAAACTAGTATTCTTGTGAAAATGTTGTCTATTTCAAATTATGACAAAATTCTGGTTGGGATCAGTTTAATTAATTTCGATCGGGATTGGCCAAAATTAAAAAAATTATTTCTCTAAAATTTCTCAATTTCAATTAAATTTCTTTTTAAATATGATTGCTTCTTGCCACCTTTTGTTTTCTCGCTACTGTCCACCGTTTCCTGTTTTGCGTACATTTCCTGATGCGTGTACATGCTAACTCTATGATAAGACTGTATCCATTCATCCGAAATTTTGATTTTCTTTCAATTATTTTATTTTAAAGCCCAATTCAATTCAAACACTATATTTTTAAATTCTTCTTATAATTATTAAAATGATTATACAAATAAACGAGAGAGAGAGAGAGAGAGAGAGAGAGAGAGAGAGAGAGAGAGAGAGAGATTGTCATGACTAATTTGCTGAGAAAATATTTAAGAATATTAGTAATAAGTTCATGTTTTAATTTTTTTTCAGAATGCAACTACGAAATCAGGTTGTTTAACCCATTATCGAACTACGGAAATTGACAATGTACATGTAAAGTCAAAGTAATTCAATGCTAAATCATCATGTGAAATAGTTACAAAGTTAATTCAAAACTTTAAGAATAGATGTCATCAACGTATGTTAATTACATCGCAAAACTACCAATGTTTAGATAGTTAAATATTATTTATTTGGCACTTAATCAAAGATGATGAAATTTTAGTCGAAAAATAGTCTTCAATATTTTTAATGTAATACCAGTCATTTGAAGAATATAAAGCAAAAAGTGCAATTATATCCATCCTCAGTTTGAAAAGTGGCTGCACAGTAGTGCATTGGAATGCATATAGCGTGGATCAGTGATGTACAGTGCCAAACTGCAATGTGTACAGTGAGCAACAGTGGTGTACTGTGCCGTACTAAAATTAAGTACTGTACACGTCTGTGATATACATGTACAGTGCTCTACTGTAGAGGCGTCCATTGTCAAACAGTGGTGTACTGGGCTGTACAGAGGGAACGTACTGTGATGTACAGAAAATAACAGTTGGCTTGTACTGTGATTTATTGGGAATTACAGTAGGCACAGGGATTTTGTACAGTGACTGCACAGTGTTTGTGCAGAGAAATACAGTGCTTAGGCAGTGAGTTCCAGAGTTTATCAGAGAGATTTTTCAGAATATTAGGGAATTTTAAGTCCAGTAGTGTAGGGAGTTGTGATGTAAAATTTCACTGCAAAAGCTCAAAGCCTTCTTGAGATATCGTCCGAAAACGAAAATGTTACACACAGACAGAATGTATGAAGTTGTGACCTTGACATTTGACTATTAATCTAAAAATCAATAGGGGTCTTTTTTTTTAGGCCATAGGGAGTTGATATAAAATTTCATTGCAAAAGCTCAAAGGCTTCTTGAGGTATCGTCTGGAAACGAAAGTGTTACACACAGACAGAAAACAGACAGACAGACGGATGGACAGACAGACAGACCCAAATTAATGTACCCAACTTTCAGTGTAAACGGGGGACAAAAAGAAATTGTCCTATGCCCATTTGTATCGGCCCCATCCTTGTGATAAATGTTGCCGGTCCCTTACAAAAATTTGAAAGTGTTTATATTGGAATATCATATATACTTTTAATTTTGTAAAGGTTAATTAAATAAATATATATTCAAAATCTAAATTTTGACTTAAGTCTGTTCCCTGTTTATGGTCTTGAAGACTAGAAATCTAAGCATACAGCTGCATCTTATCCTGAATCTTTTATCTGTTATCCAGTGTTCCTAAAAATCTCAATCATTACCTCTAAACATAATTCCCCTAAAATTGCATTAGAAACTGTTCCGAGACTTATTGTGAACAGCTGGCGGAGGCATAAAACAAGATAATCTCCAGTATATATATACCTTTAGCCGGACCCGCCTAAATATACAATCGATTCTTTCTCAACACACACTCTAAATAGATTACAAAGAATATAATAGAAAAATTGTACTCATTACTGTTCAAATACTATCTTTTTTAATGGAAGAAATGGAAAACAGACAAGCTGAATATTTGCATGTTGCTTTTATTGCACTGGATATCTTAAAACTATAACACATCATTTTAAACATAAACAAATTTAAGATTAAAAATGATATGGCCCATAATTCTGTAATTTTTAAAGATGTATATGTAAAAAAACATTTTACACCAAAATCAAGATATTACTTATTGCACGAGTCTGTTCTTAAACTAAGATGTCATGTTTTTATTTATTAGAATTTTTGCCATTCGAAGGAATTATAGATGAAATACGCTGTACGACTATACTTTTGTGACATCAGAAATCAGTGCTTATTTTTTCTACTTCTGAAACGGTGATCTCAAGCTCTTACATCGATTTTAATGTTGGATGACGGGTGGCTAATATTTTATCTAACTGAAAGTACCATATCTCATAAAAAGTGTGGTTTCAGATTTTATTGAAGACTACAAGATATGTTTGTGAAACAGTGATGCCCCCGTATGTTAGCTCATAGCCAAGGTTTAAGGTTTTCAAAAGTATGTCAAACTCAAAGGTCATGATCATGAGGTAAACAAGCTAATTCAAAGAATTGGTGCCCCCTCCCCCCCTTAAGGAAAAAAGGGTGGAAAAACAGGAAAAATATGCAGAGAATAAAAAGGTCAACAATGACCGTTCAAAGGGGTATTTCTTATGTTAAAAAAAGCATGACCTTAAGTTTCATTGCAAAAGCTTACAGAGAACTAAAGTTATCATCTGAAAACTCAGGGTCAAGGCCATGAGGTCAAAAATGATAGTTCCAAAAAAGGCTTTGTCACAAGGAATACACATGTGAAATATGGAAGCCCTTAAACCAACCATTTAAAGATATGGGCAAACTTAAAGATTTGCTTACAAACAGATAAACAGACAGCTGGACAGACCATATATACGACTCCGAATCCAAAAACATTTGAATCCAAAATATATCTTTTACCGAGTACACACATAAAAATGCACCACATCAGCAATGCAGAATGTCGTATAATAATTTTTATAACAATTTGTGTCAGGATACTTATTACAAATAAAAATATTCATAAAGAATATCAAACAGAAGTAAACACACTACGTTAATTTTCCCTGTTAATTATAACAGGATGTTTCAAGGAGATAAATATAAAGATTAAAAATAAAACAACAACAACAAAAATAAAATAAAGAAATCTTATAGGGGATAAAAATATACACAGTTATTCAGAGTATTTTAGTTTAAATATCCAATATCAAAGAAGATCTATATCAGAATCGCGATTGCCGATATGTCAAATATTACGGACACATGGAGGTACATGTTAATTTGTGGTCTTGGTCTAATCATAAGGTTTCAACTTGGGAATCTCAGCTTTTTGAAAAGTCTCACATATTCGGGATTCGACTGTATTCTTAATGAATTCAAAACCCACTGAAGGATTTCCTTCTTTTTCTATACAGGCCTAAGTGTGTGCCTTCTAATCATCATTTCATTTTGTTTCATCGGACAACAGTTGACTTTTTAAGAAAGAAACCAATGTCTGGAATGATTGGTTATCTGACTCCTCCAAGTTCACATCCTTCCTCCCTCCATTAAGTTGCAACCGCAGGCAAGAATGTCCTAAAAAGTTAAAAGAAAATTAATTTAGCTTACCAACATTTTTGAAAGCACGAATTAGTCGAATGTACATTTGATACATGTCTATTTACCGTTTGCCTTTCATTATTATCATGATTTACAAACTGCTGAAAATCATTTAATCCTTCATACCATCAACATGGAAAATATGGAACTCATCAATATCTGATAATCCTATTTGTTTGTCCAGCTCTGAACCCCATGTAAGATTTGGTGGGTGCTCGGATAATTCCAAGAAAACTTGCTCTTTTTTCCCATCATTCTTGATAAATAAAATGTTTCCTATCAAAAATAAAAACAAAATTCAGAACAGAATTTAGTTCAGATAAAATGTACGAATCGACAATACATACACAATGTACGTACCTACAAGTACATGTATATAAACCTCAAATTTTGATTAATATCAGAATTTTGATAGTTTCATACTGACCTTTTGGAAACAAAGCTGGGCTTTTTTCCGACCATGTTGGAAGCTTTAGCTGGTGTAAAGTTTGGTAATATTTTTCTGGAAGTGTTTGGATGAAATCCGACACAAAATTAACAACACTGGGAGTGTTAACGCTAGAAACAAATCCAGAGCAAAACTGAAACTCTAATTCTAATGTATTTTGTGCCAAATTGTGCTTTGCATAGAGACCAGTTTCATAATCCATATTTGTATTCACTTCCAGTGACTTTAGTTGTATGCACTGATTATTAACATTTTCCAACGAGTCAAAAAGGAAATAATGCTTCATGTGGGTTTTCCGATCAAATTCCATAAGATCCTTGATTTCAACAAAAGGGAACAGACAATGATTCATACACTGATTGACAACGGCTTTATTTTCCACTAGCATATCACAGACTCTAGCAAAAGAATCCTCAAAACTGGGGGATGCAAGGGGAATCAAATTAGCACATGGTAAAATCACATCTTGACATTCCGGAAGCTCTGAGCGCAAATCAATCTCTGTTAATAAAGAAACTCGTCCGGCATTAGTTAATTTGTTCAATACTATCTGAAAGGCACTGCATACAATGATAAACATGGATAAATCATGTTTTTTTGCAAATTCGATAAGAGCTTTCGGAATTTCGATTTCTTTTTTTGTATTTTCTAATTCAAAGCCATTTGTGTAAGATATACAACTGTCTGATGTGCTGCACAATCTAAGATGGTTTTTCCAAAATGTTCTTGACTTTTCAGCAATTTCATGCAATTTGTTTGCATACACGTTTACAATGTCAATGTGCGGTTTATCAAACCAAGGTGGGACGGGTTGTGATGCAAGAACATGCGATACAATCCTTTGTAGGTCATTCTGGATAATTTTTGCACAAAAGACATCCAGTCCCACTCTGTTGCAATTTATGTGAAGTTGTGGTTTATTGTCTATATCTTCATATATCATAGATACTAAAACTTCAACATTCTGTAATAAAGAGCCAGATACACTTCTCGTTTTCACAAACTCGAATGGAAAAGTAAAGTCTTCACAATCCACTGTATTGTTTGAATCTTGCAAGCACAAGTAATTTTCAGTACTTTGTACTCTTAAGTTAGGATTCATTCTAAAAAAAATTTGGAACACCTTTTCCCAAAAGTTTGGTTGATTTCGTGAGTTGGATATGGCATACGTCGCAACAAATGACAATTCCTTATGAATGTCATGGACACTTTTTAGCTGCTTTTCTACGACTGACATTGTCTTAGATAAGGATTGATTCTCTCCCGATAAGTCACTGGATTCTCTGCTCAACATTTCCTTTTCTCTCAAAAATTTGGCAATTTCTAATACCGATAATTCCCCTGACAATATCAGTACAATTGGAATTCTGACTTTTGTTTCGGAAAATATTATGTTTGTGATCTCGACTGCGTTCTGAGAATCCAATCCAAATCGAGTTAATGAATGCGTGTCAGCAATTTCTGAAATTTCAACCATTAGAATTTGAGACGAAGTTTTTTTCACAAGATCTACAAAATTTTGAATCGATTCATAGCTGCTCTTTTCATCATCATTCTCCTCGAAAATCGATCTATCAGCAAAAGATATTAGATTAGTAAACTTTGACTTTTCCCACCTTTTGCTACTAGCTGTGAGAAATTTTTTTAAGTCAAAATCAACAAAAATGCCTTGTGTATGATCTGACAAAAGCATTTGTGTTAAAACACTGTATATTTGGCTAACAGACATCAAATTAATTCCTTTGTGAAGAAAGAAATCCTTTAAACTAGGATCAGATCCCAAACCAACGTCTAATGCACCCCAATTTATCACCTGCGCTGGAAGTCCTAAAGATCTGCGGTAGTGAGAAAAGCTGTCGAGGAATGCATTTGCTGCAGCATAATTGGATTGTGAGTGGCTTCCGAATGTGGATGCAACACTAGAGTGCAAAACAAAGAAATCAAGATTCATTTCTTTAGTGGCAAGATGAAGGTTCCAGGTTCCTTTTATTTTAACCATAAGAGGTATATCAAAAGTTTCAACCGTCATTTTTAAAACTGTTTGGTCTTTCAACTCTGCAGCTCCCTGAAACACTCCCCGAATAGGAATATTAGGCATTTGTTGTTGGATGGTGTACATCACTTGTTTAAGATGCTCCAGCTCATTTAAGTCGACTTCTCTATGCACCACACTAACTCCATGGAGAAACTTTATGTTTTGAATACGTTTTTTATTTTCACTAGAGAGCGAACGTCTTGAAAGTGACACTATCATTTTGGCTCCTCTTCTACATAGATACTTGACTATTAACCATCCCAACCCAGTCAACCCTCCAACTACGATATAAGCAGAGTCCGTTCGAATGAGAAATTCGTCTGGTATTCTTAACTCCATCTTATCTGAGAGTTTATCGATGTCTAAGAGGCTAGGAGTTGGACTGTCTATCTTTTTATTGCATCTTAGTGTTGTCAATAATCTCTCCCTTAGTGACGTAACTTCCATACAATTTGAACGAAATAAATCAACAACATTAATAACATGAAAGTTGCATAAAGTTTGATCTATGAAAGAACTTGGCATTGCGCCTTTTAAGGAAATGCATGTTCGTACACTTGGAAAAAGAACACGGAACATGTGAGGATCATCATAACCCTCTTCAGACAACACAACTAACTGAACTGCTTTAATATTTTGAGTTTTCTTGGAGTATGCAGTCTCGCAACTTGATATAACACATTTCTTTTCCAATAGAGCAGAAAACAGAAAATGATAAATCAAGGAATATTTTTCACTAAAATCAATAAACACATCTGATTTGTGTTTCACTAAATCTGCAATGGCTATTGCAATTATAGCTGCGTGCAAGCTGCCTAGACTATATCCAGTTAGTTCTGATTTTTGGAAAACGCATCTTTTGTCCACCCTGATTTCCGATCTTAATTCCATCTGCCCAAATGCTATAACTTCTAGTTCTCTGCCATCAACTTCTGCTGTACCAACAACTTCACAAACTGTTATTCCAAAACCTTTGATTTTGTTTTCCGAACAGTAACGCTCAGGAGTTAAATTATCCTGAATAAAAAAAGTATCATGTATGCACGGAAGAGCTTGCTTTGGTTTGATGCAACAAAACTCAAGATCGACAGAATCTTCATCACAAGGTATTGCGAAATAAGATAGCTCAGATTTATCGCCGTGATATCTAAAGCACACCTTGTCCGTCTCCTTTGGGAAAGTTGATTTATACACCGTTGAATGAAATTCATCAGACATCCTCTTTAATTCATTCTTGTAAATGATGTTTTGGCGTACAGCATAGTCAGAAGGAGCAAAAGTATTTCCAGGATCCATTTCTGTTATAATTCTGATGATGTAGTCCATTGATTGCTCAGTTAGATCCTCTATATCCAGTAGAGTAAAAGAAAGCTGTGTTCCCTCCTGCGATACAGACCGAACCATTCCCCATAATTCAGCACCGATAATCCCTGTTTTGATAGATTGACAAGCCTGTGTTTTATTTGTTATGACTAGAATGTGTACCTTGTTGTTGTAAAGTATCTTTACAAGTTCGAGAAAACAATGGGCTGTTTGTTTTACTGAGTTCATTAGTTCATCTCCCGTTGTTTGTGTTTTTATTTCAGGTAATCCCGGAATATATATTATATCAAATTGCTGCGTGTCAACTTCCTCTTCAAGGAAAACAGACAATTGATGTTCAAAGTTGTCTGACAAAGCAAGGCAACGAACCTCTGAAGTCCTAAATCTTTTTGAAAAGGCATTTTCCAGAAGTGAAAGATATTCTTTGTTCCAAGAAAGTAAATAAAGTTTTTTTCTGTCCAAATCTCTTAACTGAGGCAAAGTTATAGCATTCCAAGTTTCGCTGTAGGAGAGAGAAAAAATGTCGCTTTCCAAAGCAACTTTGGTGACTTCATAATTTGATATTTTGGCAATAATGCTTCCATTTGTATGCAAAAGTAGAATGTTGAAGGTTGCAGTTACTGAATTTTCGTAGACAAGAACTGTATAGCATATCATACGTGCGCATGGTTTTTGCTTTACAGTCAGACGGGACACACGACTAGGAAGAGTTCTTGCCTTCACTTTGTCTTTCTTTTGAAAGTGAATCCCACAGCAAGACTGAAACATGCTGTCTATAATGATAGGATGAAAGAAAGCCCTATTTAAATTTGTCATTACTTCATCAGACAGATTTATTTCACTGATGCATTCAACTCCGCGACAAACACACTTCTTTATCGTTTGGTACAATGCGCCATGATGAAATCCCAGACTTCGCAATGTTGGGTAAACATTGGTTGTTTCTTTTTCGTTATGTAATAAAGAAATGAGCCTTTCTATGTTCAGTGTGGTAATTCCTGAAGTAGTGGACTGCTTTATCGTACCAGAGGATAATACTGACTGGCTTTCTGATGAAATTGCTTCGAAATAAATAGTCTTCTCTTTTTCAAGTGCTTTTACTACAATGTTTTGTTCTGTATCTTTGACTAAGAGTGTTCTATGGATATCCCAGGAAATGTCCATTTCCGTCACTCCTCTGCTTTGCAAAAGCATTGTTCCTATTTCTAAAGCAACGTCCCCGTACATTGCAGCCGGTACAACTATGTTCCCATCTAAAGTATGGTCATAGATAAATGGCGTATTCTTTCGACTTAAAGTGATCGTAAATTGCTCATTATTTCCAATTCTAGTTCTGGTAAGCAATGTGCTTTCGTCCTCTGTATCTCCATTTAGTATGCTTTTGATTTTTTCTGACTTTACGAGATACTTCCGTTTACTGAATTGGTATTTTGGACACGAAAGAAATTTCTGCATTGGAACAATCTTTTCCCATGAAACTGGGATTCCTTTTCCAAAGAGGTTGATGAAAGTTTCTCGAAAAACATCGATCTCTTTATCTCGTTTCATTGAAGGCAGAGCTTCTTCTACGGAATCGGGAAATATGCTTGATAGGTGAGCTCTTAGAACCGGACTCGGGCCAATTTCAAGAAAAATTGAATTAGGGGCTCTTCGTTTTGCTTCCTCTAAAGCGTGTTGAAATCGCACGGGTTTAAATACATTGTCAGCCCAATAAGAATTTGATCCAAAATTTTCATCAGCTATTTGGCCAGTGACCGTTGAAATAACGGTTGTCCTTGGAATTTTTTTCTCGATGCCTGATAGAATTTGCTCCAACCTTTTACTTGCATTTTTTGTCAAATGACTATGATATGCACATTTTACATTCAAATGAGTTATTTTTGCTGATTTATCAGCAAGTTTAAGTTTTAATTCTTCAATAGCCTCTTTGTCACCCGAGACTGCACAGGAAACACTGCTGTGATAAACTGCAACATTAGCTTTTCCGGCCACAAGATTCTCGCAAGTTTCCTCAATTACTTCAACAGGGCAATGTTGAATAAGAACCATTTTCCCGAAGGTTTCACTTGCCAAATTAAGGGACCGAAAATAAATCACTCTAACAGCGTTTTTCAGGGTAAGATTTCCACTTGCATACGCACCTGCAACTTCCCCAACAGATTGGCCAATTATAGCAGTTGGATTGACACCCAAATGTTCCCACATCGCTGTTAGACCAACTTGACAAGCAAAGATTGACAGATGATTTTTCAGAGGATCTGAAATATCTTCTTCTGTTTCAAAAATCGTACGAACAGAAATGTCTGTGAAAGAACTCAGATGCTTATCAATTTCTATAATGGTTTTTTCAAAGACTTTATCTTGAGTGATGAGCTGTTTACACATTTTTACCCAGGTTGTACCAACACCACAATACACAAATATTATTTTAGGTCTTTCTTTGAGAGCTCCTGGTATGGGTAACTTTTTATGCACAAATTCGTCGATTTCTGAAATTAATTTTGAAGTGTTTTCAACAACAAACACTTTTCGAAATCTATAGTGACTCCTGAAATGAACTGTTGTGCTTGAAAGATCAATAAGCGAGATTGTATCCATATCATCAAGAAGAAACTCAAGTAAATGCTTGGCTGTATCATATAATGCACTCAAATCCTTGGCTGATAAGAGAACATAAAATGCCATATTAAGGCAGCTTTCCATATACTGTAATTGAACAGAAGAGCTACCAGTTTCCTCATAATTTCTCACAATAGCGTGTGAGTTAGTTCCACCAAAGCCAAAACAGTTTATTGAAGCTATCCTCTTCCCCTCAGAATTTGCTGGCCACTTCTGAAGACTGCGACTAACTTTCATTTTACAAGCACTAAAAGGAATTTTGGGATTTAATGTTTCAGCATGAAGGGAAGGAACAAAATGCCCGTATTTCATCATCAGAAGTACTTTGATTAAAGAAGCCATTCCGGCACCTGCCTCTAAATGACCAATATTGGTTTTTACCGAACCTATCGGTATTTCTTCTTCACAATATTTTGAAAAGAAAGATCCTAGAGAGCTTACTTCAATGTAATCGCCAACTGGTGTCCCTGTCCCTGAAATATTACACCTCATTAATTTATACAAACATTATTATGAGTATAAAGGATAATATGATTGATTGATTATTACTGTTTAACGCCGAGTCGGCAATATTTCAGCCATATTTTGGCGATAAAAAGGATAATAAAATATATATAGAAAATGCACTAATTTAACACCTTCTTGCAACTTAACGTATTTGCATACTGATAAAATAGAACATTTGTAGCCTTTTGAGATTTTAAAGACTTCCCTCTTTATTTTTGTAATTGAGAACCTAAACTTCTTGAACCCCTCTTTCCCCTTGAGCCATAATTTGACCAAACTTCCACACTAATAAATAAAGATTATTCATTTTGATGCTACAACTAATATAGTAGAATTTCTTAATGATCCGAATTTTCTTACAGGTCTGTCGTGGCTTCAGTGGTTTTGGGTTTCTGACTCAGTGGTTGAACAATTTATGAATGATCCCATTTTTATGTTTATATTGTTATACCTATAAAATTATTTCCTTTATAAATCTATACTAAACAAGAGGCCATGGGCCATATCGCTCATCTGAGCACATTGGCTAGGAAAAAGCAGAAATCAGTTCAGTATTGAAAAGTTTATGAGGGTAACTTAAATTTACACTACCTCAAGATGCTTCCACATCAATATTACTAATCAAGGCTTTGTTGTTCTTGAGCATAAGAATTTTAAAGATTTTTTTCCTTATGTATTCCTATGTAAAAATCTGATAGCTCATTGTGGCCCTAGCCTAACTTTATACTACCTGAGGATGTTTCTAAAATAAAATGACTAATCATGGCTTTGCTGTTCTTGAGCAGAAGATTTTTTCAAGACAATTCCTACACATTCTTATGTAAAACTTCTAACCCTCTGTTATACCCCCCACCCCTCCATCCTTGGAGGGTCATAATTTGAACAAACTTGATTCTACAATACCTAAGTTTGCTTCTGTATAAATATGACTAATAATGGGTTAGTTAATCTTGAGAAGATTCAAGAAGATTTTTAAATATTAATATATTTCCTATGTAACATGTATGATCAGGTTCTTATAAGGGATATATAGGTTTTCTTTTTACTCTGTCTGAGATAATGATTGGAATGATCATTAAGACCACTCTGTCTGAGGGTACATCACACAGTCCTTAGATTTTTCTCTTATTTGCAGATGGGGACTGGGTAAGGTACTACTTGCACCGTGTTTCTCCCCTAGGTTTAAATTTCCTTCAGGTTTACTACACCCAAAACTTAACATCAATTCCCTAGTGTACTTGCCTCTGGTATTTATAACTTTTATACTTTTATTTTGTCTAACCAATAACTTCTTTATTGCTGAATCAACGTCCAACTTCTTCAGCTAGCTTCTGAATGCCTGACTATCCCAAAACTTTGCCTTATATACCCTTTGACTAGTCCATTCCTAGGGTTGTCAGGTCATTTCACTATTTGAAGTCTTCCATGCGTTTTACGCAAATGCCTCTTAACCATTACGTCTATATATTCCTATGTAAAACTTTGACCCACTGTTGTGGCCCCACCTTACCCCGGGGGACATGATTTGAATAAACTTGAATCTACAGTACCTGAGGATACTTCTATATAAATATGATTAATAATGGCTTGGCTGTTCTTCAGAAGAAAATTTTTAAAGATATTCCTATGTAAACCTTTGGGCCCCTGTTGTTTCTGCACCAAACCTCCAGGGGTCATGATCTGAACAAACTTGAATGTACACTACCTGAGGATACTTAAATATTAATCTGACTAATGGCTTAGCTGTTCTTCAGATCTTTAAAGATATTTCTTATATATTCCTTTGGTAAACTTTGACCGCCTTTTGTGGCCCTGCCCTACCCCAGGGGTCATGATTGGAACAAACTTGAATCTACACTACCTGAGGATACTTCTATAATAATATGACTAATCATGGCTTTGCTGTTCTCGAGAAAAAAAATAAAGACATTTCCTACATATTCCTATGTATAACTTCGACCCCCTCTTGTGGCCCCGCCATACCCGCGGGGTTATGATATGAACAAACTTGAATCTAGAGTATTTAATGAAGCTTTCACATAAGTTTCATCTTTTCTTGCCCAGTGGTTCTTGAGAAGAAGATTTTTCAAAGATGCCACCAAATTTTCACGAATTCTTTATTATCTCCCATTGAAAGAGGGCATGGTACTTCCTGTGAACAAACTTAAATCCCCTTTACCCAAGGATGCTTTGTGGCAAGTTTGGTTGAAACTGGCCCAGTGGTTCTTGAAAATGTCGAAAATGTGAAAAGGTTACAGACGAAACACGACAGACGGACGCAAGACACTCTTTGATCATCTAATATTTTCGTTGTTTTACTTAGCGGTTCAAAAAATAATTCAAAGTTGACCACTGATTGAAATATTGGTTCTGTTGATGATATTGGAATTCAATGACGTTTTTTAATGCCACAATATAGGCGGAATCAGATATTTCTTACTTTATTCGACATTTACGAAATTCTCTGAGTTAAATCCGCAGTGCGAGTAAACAAAATTTATATCAAATATCAAAAACACATGACAGCCAGCGCCAGGTGTGGCAAAATAAAAAGTAAAAGGTATAACAGAACATTTATTGACTGTGTTCCCGGGTAAAATGCGTTTTGCTGAACCCTCGAACCAAACTGTTTGCCTTCGCTCTAACGGCTTCAAGCAAACAGTTTGGCTCTTAAGAACAACAAAGGCATGTTGCCCTCGAACCCAATCAATAAATGTATAATCTTACACTCCCCCTCCTCCTGGAAAGTTTATTGACCTTCATTTAAAATCATTATATGAATAGGCTTTTCCTAACTAAAGCATATGAAAAGGTAGATTCAATATACATATGAGCTTGTGGAGAGGCCAAGTTCCTGTTATGTAAAATTTTATATGACGAATGCCGAAGATGACAATGTTAGAGTCAATATATTAAGTATTTAGACTTATTATTAATGTTAATGTGCTATTCTCCCCTTACCATGTGCTTCTATATATTGTACGGAGGACGGTGAAGTCTTGCTTTCCTTGAAAATTTTTTCCAACAAATGTTCTTGCTGTTTACCAGAAGGGGATGTGATTGGCGTACTCATATGACCATCCTGGTTAAGCATTGTATGGATTGTCCCCCATATTTTGTTTTTGTCGTGGATTGCCTGAATAGAAAAAAACAACAACTCAGAATACATGTTTATGTAAAACCGTCTAGCATTTCATAAAACAAGATACTGTCATAAGACAGTAATACCCGCGCGGAAGTGTTTGCTTATAAAGGTACTCTCCCTTGTACCTGGGCAATGAATAGCCACAGTAGTTACTAACTAATCAAAATAAAATATATACACATGTATCAGATTGAGCAAAAATTGCACATATGAGCATCTGACCCATGAGTTTCTTGTCAGAATTTCAAAAAATAAGGTCATTTTCGGTCTGAAATTGAAGATTTTAATGAAGTAAATTCTGTGTAGGATCTCGAATCAAGTTTTAAGAGCCATTCTCTGTAATGACTTTAACTTTTATATAGGAGGTGTGGCACTTATAGTCTCAGAATTTCTCTCAACTCTGTCTGGTAAAAGTCTTTGATTCCCGAAACTCAAGTCAGGCAAAAATTGGTTGCTATGTCCATGGTTATCATGGCAACATGCACTGAAGTTTGGAAAATGGCATCTTCGAACATGTTTAGAGTCCTATGGCCATAGTTAACGTTCGTAGCGATGCAAACAAATGACACTGTTTCAAAAAGTTGAAGGCATAATGTTTAAATTCATGGTAAACATAACTCTTGTACTATATACCAAAGAAATGTTATGTTTCTTATTGGTTGGTAAGAGCTGCCATGGTTTTAATACCACAAAAGGATTTCAAATTTACTCTCTATATGTTTTTATCTGACCCTATCTCTCTAGAAACACATTTCTATATAACTGGTAATCAATTTTTAAAGGCATTTATGTGGTTCTAATTTTCACATTTCAAAAGATTCAAGTTAAATTCTTCAAATAAAGTGTTGCTTTGGAAATTATAGGAAAAATATGTATATAAAGCTGAAAAAAGAGGTTTTTTTTCTTGGATACGTAGCCTTGTATGTAGATTTCGAAAACTTTTATGATTAATATTTATGAACAACTTACCTGAATTTCAATTTTTACTACCCCATAATCTCTAACATAATCTGATGCTACCATAAAGGGTTTAATACATGTATTGCTATATAGTTAACAAAATCGAACATTTCCCTTATTGGTAACCATAGCAACAATGTTATTTCTTCATCAAACTATCAATATATGTTATTCAACTTTAGTTCTATCTGATAAGTACAATTCAAGGTGAGTCAAATAACATGTTTCTTGATTTAAAGGTACCTAAATTCTTTAAGCAGCAAAATATTATCCCTAAAACCACTGGTACCTTGTTTCCATGGTTACACAACACAGTATCAATTAATCCCAATTTATCTCAAGCTATCTGTGTTACAAGGTCCCAACGATGTATATTTGCCAGTCTTGAATTTCCATGTTTTTCCTCAAGATAGCAGCATAAAAAATCTCAGCAACAGATTTTGTATGGCTACACTGTGTTACCATGGCAACCATAAAAGTTATTTTAAGAATAATATTGCCAATAGCTTATTACTTGAAATCATTTTTTTCTTGTGTTGTTGATTTAGTTTGATCATTTTACGCCTATTATCAGTGAATATTGAGCGTTTTTCAGCATATAAAATATATTACAAATGTACCCATGGTTACCACTTACTTAGAGATATATTTATAAATAGTTTCTTTATAGCACAAGTGCCAACAAGTTGTTATGTTTGGTTCTCTTAGTATACAGTTAAAGTATATCTTTGAGGGAGTTAGCAAGATTCCAGTTCCCCAAGGCCAGGACTATTTCCTGAGGCGAAGCCGAGGGAAATAGTCCTGTCGAGGGGAACTGGAATCTTGTTAACTCCCTCAAAGATATACTTTTAACTGTTTTATTATACCGATACAAACGTAAAATTTAGAGGATTCAGATGGCGTGATTTCAAAGCAGGGATTAGCTCATTGAACTAACTCACGGGGATTAGTCAATTCACGTATCACATGGCCGTAGGAACCGGGGTGGGAGGAGGAGGGGCGGGGGGGGTTTCCCCCCGCCCCCCCCCCCCCAATAATTTTGCCGATATATTGATCAATATAGTAAACATAGATACCATATGCTTGTGCTCCCTCAATAAAATCAATAAAAACGTCTGTTGACTTTTTTGGTTTTTGCTTGTCAAGGAATTTCTGGTAGTGCCCTAGCTGCAATAATGTAGCCCTCTCCGATTTTTTTTTTTTTGGGGGGGGGGGGGGGGGGAGAGGGCTAAAACTCCTTAGGATCTCCGTAATGGTGCAAGTGCGGGAGTGATTCACTACCGCACCGATTTCGGCTCAAATTATCAGTAAGTGGGTATTTTATTAACATATCTTACCTGAACTCATAAAATGTAGTTATGCAAGACATAAATTGATCCAAAAATATACAGAACAATCCGTATATCGGTTATTTTTCGTGTATGTCAACATCACAACTTGAATTTATCCGCCATGTTTACTGACCTTGATCGATTTTATTTTGGGACAACCAATGAGAATTCGGGATCTAGAGGAGCGGATCGTTTAGGATTTCCCATATTTTAAGCATAAATATCACTGTATATGAAAAAAATATCCCATGGAATGCTTTTATTTATCGATGTTTAATGATATCATACAACACAAACATTTATCAACCGATATTTACTTTATCAAGTGATTCTAAATTTCAAGCGCAAGTCTCAGTACATCACGCGAGAACTGTCATGGCTGCTGAGGAGAACGACTGGTAAACACGCAGATTTATTTTACTTGGTTTTCGCGTATAAAGGGCTATGATGTTGACAGTGAATAAAAATTCCGTCTCATTGGAAGTAAGTTGAATGCAAAAACAATTTATTTTGCATGCAGTCGCCCGTATCTAAAAAATATATTTGCACCATTACGGAGATGCAGTGGAATTGTAGCCCTCTCCTGAAAATGTCCTATTAAAAAAATCGGAGAGGGCTACATTACTGCAGCTAGTAGTGCCCCCTCAACTGAAAATGTATGGCTGCCCCCCCCCCCCCAACTGAAATTGCTTCCTACGGGCCTGTATCATACCAATGTAAAAGTAAAATCTAGAGAATTACGGATAACCGGGAATTAGCTTTCGAAGCAGGGATTAGCTCACTTGACTAACGCACGCGGATTAGTCCATTCATAACGATTTCTAGGGAATAAATCACATCTAACGATCTAATGTTATATAGGGAAAAATCAGTAGAGTTATAATAATCTTTATTAAGGCTCAATAAAGATTAAAAGAAGCTGAAAATCTCGGGGTTTTTTTTCAAACTTTTCTGGCCGTTACCATGGTAACCAAGACACATAGTAACCAAATTTTATTCGATATATGTTTCTGGTGTCAAGTTTTAATAATGGGAAAAAATTCATCAAAGTCGGTGACCATGCATGGCAAAGATGTTTAAATGGCTACAGGAAATAAGCTCTTTTAAATTCCTTTGGTATTTTAAAAAGTTCGAAGGTTTTTTTTTTAACTAGCTGACAATACTGGTCACTTTACCATCAGCTCATACATTCATTGTATGTCTGAGAGAGGAAAGAACGAAAATTCTGCAATGAAGATTGAATACAGGTTAGTATCTGAAAAACAGTTGAAAGCTTTACTTTAAAACCATATAATAATATTGTTCTTAATTTCATGACACATTAAATAGTAGTCGCCCGAGTGGTGCAGTGGTTAGAGTATGCTCTAGAGTCGCGGTGTAAGGAGTTGATCCTTACGTCTTGGGTTCAAATCTCAGTGCGGGACGTGGAGACAGGTCCTTCAGATGAGGCCGTATAAACCGAGGTCCCGTGTCGCAGTAGGTGCTGGCACGAAAAAGATCCCTCACTGCTCAATGGCCCTGAGTGCAAAGTATAGGTCTAAATTTGCGGAATTTTTCTCTCATATGGAGACAAATTAAACACACCCGGTGAAACGTAAACTGTTTTTGTAAATAGGGCACGAGCTCTGTTATTGTTAATGTTTACGATTCACCTGGTGTGTTCATTTGTCAAACTCTGCACGCATCACTGCGCACGGACTGACAAAACTGATGTGTTGGTTTTGCTTTCTCACATTTGTACTCTTGAATTTTCTGGATTATAGTTTTAATATTTTTTTCAATAATACACAACAAAATTTCTACTTTTCTTAAGTATTAAGGACAAGTTTACTTTGTGAACGTACAAGGGTGTGTCAATCAAATGCGTCTCGAAATTCGTGCTTTCAGTAATTTCCATATAAAATAAGTTTTTATTATATTTCCGTGTGAAATGCTTTAGCAACTTTTAAGTCATGATATTATACAGAAAATTTGAGAAAATATTAACTTCAAATCTGTGTCTAGGCCCCTTTAAGAGAAAATAAAACGCTCACAACCACTAGATATTGGCATTAAAAAAACACATATAAACGTTCCCAACTACAATTGATTTTAATTTTGCGACTCCCCAAATGCGTTGAATTTTCCCAGAAACAACTCCCCCCTATGTAACAATTACTATCGGAAGAGAAAATGTCCCGATTATTAATTATTATAAAGTCTTGTATAGTTTCAATTGCTGCATTTCAAAGATAAACGTTTTCTTTTGCTGGTTTAACTGTCAGAAGCCGTATGCAAGTCGTAGATTGTGCAAATCATGCATGTTTTGACCACTCGATCACCGTAAATATGAAATCTGTCAAATAGTTTGGAAGTGTTTTAGAATACTAGACGTATATTGTAGCCGGACCAATGACTAGCACAAAGGTTAACTATCGCTGTCTTCCGTGGGATATTTGATTTTTGTAAATACCCCTTACAAATACCGAAAAAAAGACGAGACCTACATCCCTCCTGATTCCGAAATGGTGAAAATATGCTCCCCAATCCGCTGAAAACGCGTCCCCCATGCTTTTAGCGACTTTCCGTGTTACTCGATGTATACGGTGAATCACCTTACCAAGGATGATTCTTCTATTGCGTAAAATGTAAGAGGTGTTCTGTGAATCAATTTTTGTAGAAAAAAGATAAAACGTCATTTTTCAACCCCATTTGGCCTCTAGGGTGAAAATGAAAATCCGAAGCCTTATATCTTCAGCACACCACCAATAACTTTGCCAAAGATATTTAGGCTACATCCTTAATTGTAAGAGTTGTGGGAACCAGAATATTGTAGAAAATCGTCGTTTTTTAACCCCCATTTTGCCTCCAGAATGAAAATTAAAGTACTGAAACCTTATTGTTTATCTACAGGACACCACCTAATCATATTACAAAATATGAATCAGTTACTGCTTTAAATAAAACAAGAGTCGCCCGCGTGGCGCAGTGATTAAAGCGTCTGCTCTAGAGTCGCGAAGTAAGGAGTTGATCCTTGCGTCGCGGGTTCGAATCCCACTGTAGGACGTGGAGACCGGTCCTTCGGATGAGACGGTATAAACCGAGGTCCCGTGTCGCAGTAGGTGCTGGCACGAAAAAGACCCCTCACTGCTCAATGGCCGTAAGTGCCGAGTATAGGACAAAATTTGCAGCTCTCCACCGGCAAGTGGTGGCGTCTCCATATGAGTGAAAAATTCTCGAGAGGGACGTTAAACAACAAACAAACAAACAAAAAATAAAACAAGAGGACCAATGGCCTAAAGGGTCACCTGAGTATAATACAACACTGTAAAGGAACCATAGATTGCAGTATAAAACAAAACAAATAAAATGATAGATGAAGATAAATTGCCCGAGATCAAGAAAAATAAGATGTTCAGGGGTCAATAAAATAGTTAATCTAGTACTCGGTAGCAAATCAAAAAGGAGATCTATTTACGTGCCTGTACTTGTCAGTGATAACACACTTCCGTTTGTCACTATCACTATGTAGACTACTAAACAAAACAAAAGTGCTTGAGCTCCTAAACTTATCTCAAACCCTCTCAGATTGGCCTCTCTTGGTCTTTAAAGAACATTTAATGTACAAAGGTATTTTTATCTCATTTTTTATCTATCTATTAAATAAAGGGGACGTATTTTCAATTAGCAATGGTTATTTCCATGTCGATTCGATATATCCCGGTGAGCTTGAAATAAAAGATACCACAGAGTCTGACACATCTGTTTCATATTTTGATATTTTACTAGAAAAAGACGTTAATGGTAATCTAACAACCAAGCTTTATGATAAACGTAATGACTTTAACTTTTCAATCGTCAACTTCCCTTACTTATGCAGCAATATACCTTCATTACCTGCGTACGGGGTTTATATCTCTCAGTTGATTCGATACGCAAGAGCATTCTCTACGAATGAGCAATTTCTAAAACGAGGTAAGTTATTGACAAACAAGTTGATGAAACAAGAATATCAGCAGTCTTGTTTAAAGTCGTCATTTCGCAAGTTCCATGGTCGATACAATGACCTTGTCAGCAAATACAATTTATCATTAAGTCAAATGCTGACTCACGTTTTTCATACTAATTTTTAGGCCATTATATACACACTAAATTGTCGACAGATTTTTCCTCCATTTCCCGATCATGACAAGGAGCACACGGCGGGTGTGACCAGTCGGCAGGGGATGTTCACTCCTCCATGGCACCTGATCCCACATCTGATGTTTTAGAGGTCCATGTTTGCTCTCCTCCAAAATTTGTATTGTTTAAGGGACTTTTGAGTTTGAATACTGTTCGTTATCTCCATACATTTCATTTAAAGGTATTGTTTGACAAATGCCATGTCCTACAGTGTCTAAGTGGAGTTTTGATTCTCCATGTTTACGAGCCTATTATTCTGTCCATAATGGGAATTTTTAAGCATGGATAAAACACACGTAAGTGGACATGTATCTTTTAAAATATTTTGGAATATGAATAGGGGATAACATATCAAAAAGCAAGTTTCTATTATCACACTGCATTTTGATAGGGAAAATTGCGTACTATTTAAAGAATCTAAACTACAAATAAATTAATTTGAAAAAAAAATCTATCAAAAGGTGAAGCTTACCTCAATATTACACGGGACATCGTTAAACAAGACATAAGCATGATAAAAATGTGTCATGTTTACATTTCTCGAGTGCGGGAAAACTATGACGTCACACGTAAGCTAAATAAACAAATTAAGATATACTTACCTAAGATTTCTGTCATTAACCATGCAAAAATAGATTTTGTCTTCCTGTTTCATAAAACACCTCACCATGTGCTGATTATTAAGCGTTCTACATAATAATACTGCCCGTGTACTCATCGAGTATGATCTTGTACTTCCAAACGTATGACGTCACCGACTTATTGGGTGTAGGGAAACAGAGGAGTGGACTAATCTATTTCATAATTTGTTAATGTTTACAAGAATGTTTAAACAAGATCAATAGAGCCCTGCCAAGCAACAGAACACTTGACCTACTGATCCAGAATTTCACAAATCTAGTAAAATTACCCTTGCTCATTACAATTTTGTACTCTGTTTGCCTCCCAGATTTCAAAGAATTAATGCAATTTCACTAAAAAAATTAATAGACTCTCACCCTAACACCAGAACCCCTGACCAAGGGCCATGGATATCACAGACTGGAAGAGACACCCTTGCTCATCATAACCACACACTTAGTTTATCTGCTAAATACCCACGAGGAATGAACATTTTTCACAGAACTGATCCATTTTCAGTATTCAATCAATAGAGCCCCACCATTATACTTGAGATGCTTACCCAGAGGACATGAAATTCACAATTTTGGAAAATTTCCAATAAAATATCCATCATAACAATGCACTTGATATGTCTGTCAAATACACAGTAGCAAAGAAGATTTTCAAAGAATTTTTCACTATATAATCAATAGAGACCCGCCCTTACACCAGAACTCCTGACCAAGGAGCCATGAATTTCATAATTTTGGAAGAGGTACCCTTGCTTATCATATCCAAGCACTAAGTATTTAGTATATATATGTTTGCCAAATACTAAGGGACAGAAGATTTTCAAATAAATAATGAATTTTCACTATTTAATCGATAGAGCTTCACCCTTACATTAGAACCTCTGACTCAGAGGCCATGAACTTCATACTTTTAGAAGAGGCACCCTTGCTCATCATTATCCTTTTAGTTTGTCTGCCAAATATCCAGGGGCATAGAGAAGAAGAAGATTTTCAAAGAAATTAATGCATTTTCACTCTATAGTCAATAGAGCCCCCCCCCCCCCCAGCACCAGAACCCCTGACCCAGGGGCCATGAATTTCACAGTTTTGGAAGAGACACTCTTGCTCATCATAACCATGTGCTTAGCATGTTTGCCAAATACTCAGAGGGAAAGAGGAAGATTTTCAAAGTAATAATGCATTTTCACTATATAATCAATAGAAAGAACCCCTGATCCAGGGGTCATGATAATCACATTTTGGAAGAGGCACCATCATAACCATGTACTTTGTTTACGTTTAATATACAGGGGGAGAGAAGCATTTTAAAGAATTTCTGCAATTTCACTATGTGATCGATAGAGCCCCAATCTAACTCCAGAATCCCTTACCCTGGGGCCACAAATTTCACAATTTAGGTAAAGGATTCACTGTATGTTATAATCATGCCAACAGTTTTTAATTAGTGTTTGATATCCAGGAGTAGAGAAGAAGATTTTTGAAAATTGCATTAATTTTTATGATTTTGGTCACAACCCTATGGCCCGAGGAGAGGAGGGTAGGAACCATGGAAATCACATTTTTGCCCCCTTTTTCCATGGATACTCTATACAAAAATTTGTTGAAATTGGTTCAGCTGTTGATGAGAAGAATCTGAAAATGTTCAAAAGTTTACGAACGACGGACGTCGCACGACGACGGACGAAAATGATTTGCAATAAGTCACATGAGTGACCTAAATAGGAGTTTGAGGAAGACGAAAGTGTGATAGACGGACGGACAACGAACGGACGAATATAGAATAACAACAATATACCCAAACTTTCTTTAGAATGTGCAGATATAATTATAATCTCATGAAAACTTGAACTTACATCTGCAAGTCTTTTCAACACAACAACGCCACATCCTTCTCCACGGGCATATCCATCTGCTTTGCTCGAGAAGGTATGACATTTTCCTGTTGGCGACGCCATTCGTGCGCAAGATAGGTTGATGAAAGTATCTGGATCTAGGATGACATTGACTCCACCGCAGATAGCAGTTGATATTTTACCTGTTTGATGTTGTAGAATGAAATCATGTTTTGTTTTTTAAATTAACTAAATTGAATGTTTCTGATTGTTTGGGTTAATTTTATTTCTGGAAGTTTTCAATTAATAAACTGGGCAGATTTTCTGTTGATGTTTATTTATTTATCTCTCAAAGCCTCTTTTATTCCATCCATATCAAAATCATTTATAATTTTATTCTTTAAAAGCCGAGGTACATGTAAAGTTTGCGTACATATATATTAACAATTTTCGAAAATCCCAAACTCTTTTCGATATGTTTTTATATGAAACACTGCATTCCGTCAGACTTCCAATTCAGCTGTAAAGAATGATTCGTGGAACATTTTCATAGCATTAAATTTGAAATCATGTGAAAAGTTTTTTTTTCCCCTGTACTCCTGAGTTATTTAAAATTTTAGCTGCAACCTAATCTGAGGGTCCATATTATTTTTCTTAAAAGGGGTTCCTACCACTTATGAATGTTTGCATATTAATATGATTTAGTATACGAACCTTCTACTCTTGAAAAGAATTGTTTTTATATATTCCATTGTAAAACGTCACAGTCCCACCCTACCCCAGGGACTATATGACATAATCTAACTTGAATCTACACCACATTGGGATTCTTGCACATTATTATGACTAATTAGGGTCTTGCTTTTCTTGGAGAAAAAAGATGTTTTCCTATATATTCCCATATAAACTGTGATCCCCTATAGAAGCCCTCTCCTACCCCCGGGGCCATGACGGATAAATTGAATCTATACTACCTGAGGATGTTTGCATAAAAAATATAATCATCATGCCCTTACCGTTCTTGAGATTTTTTTTTTTTTTTTAAAAGATTTTCTACTAGAGTAAATATCCAATATTGTATTTCGTTTCTCTATATTGAGGCCCCACCCTAACTCCGGGGGCCATGGTTTGAACAAACTTTTATTTATGCAACTTTCTGATGTTTTTTTTTTTTTTTTTTTTTTTTTTTTTTGGATTAATATGATGAATCCTGGCCTTGTTCTTGAAATAAAGATGTCGAAACATTTTTCCCCGATATATTTTCATGTAAAACTGATCCCTCGTTGTGGCCCCACCATATCCCCTGAGGTCAGGATTGAACCAATTAAATCTTAAAGATGTTTTCATATAAATACCGCAAACGTCAAAGGATAGAAAAAGTTATTTAGGCTCAAGCAACTAAAGTCAGCAAACCTTCAAATCAGTACCCGTCAATCTTCGAAATGACGTGCATTGTTTAGTATTTCAGAAGCCAGAATTGTTGTAATGTTGTTGAATGAGGGAATAAAATACACCCTTAGGATTAAGAGAGTAAAAAAAAATAGCATCATGAAGAGAATGTCCTCTGTAGCAGAAGAGACCAGGGGCAAGGGATCGATTATCGGATTCTAATCAGGTAATGTGCAAATTAGTACATAATTCAATTTTTTAAACATGCAATCATTTATATGCATAAAAAAAAGATTTTTTTCTATTAGAATGTAAACCATGAGGTTAAATCAAATGTTTCATGAAAAAAAAATTATATTCAAACCCTAATTTGTAGCCTTAACTTTATTTAAATAGGTATTATTATCATAACTGAACTCACCATTTTTCAATGCCTGCGATGCTGTATCAATGGCAACCATTGACGAAGAACATGCTGTGTTTATCGTCATGGCAGGTCCTAAAAGGTTGTAGAAGTAAGCAACTCTTGCAGATAGAATACTGTTGTCAACACTTGTAACTGTGGTATTCCTGCTCCTTTCATGCGATATCCGTAATAAACTGCCCCAATCACGATTTAGAGCTCCTGCAATGTTTATCAAACATTCCACGACTTTAAAAAAATGTCAATTTCAGATAGATTCAAGGTCACAAAATGAATTATTTAAAGCACTAAAAATGTTTTTTTCCACACTATTACGAGAAGCCTATTGACCACATCGCTCAGCTGTGTAACACCAGCCCAATACTCTTCTTCATAAGAAGATTTTTAAGATTTTTACACTGAATTTCCATTCCCCTATTGTGGATCCAACCAAGCCCTATGATATGGAGGGTAATCGTGTTCAAAAATCCAGACGTGTACATTCACAATTGCAATTTGTAAGCTTGAAAATCGCATATCTGATTAATTTCTAATTTGTTGATCTCAGACTCTCATCTCGAACACTGCACCGTGTAATAATTGACGTTACTTATTTATACTTTACAGCTGAAACTTGAAACTACCATATTTTGAGTAAGTTATTGTAAAAATTCAAACATTAATGAATCCGTATTTGATATGTTCCCGTACCTGAGTCTGAATTTTACACATCTATGCTGATGTTAATATATACGCGGATCTAGAATTCCCCCTGGAATTTGCAGAGTTATTAAATGTATATACTAAACGAACTAAAAGTGACCTTGGACCCCCCCCCCCCCCTTTCGAAAACGCGGATCTGTGTAAAATTGGTTCGAAAAGTCATAGGTATGTAGCTTTAGAATTCAACGACTACCTAACCCCCCCCCCCCCCCCCCGAAATAGTTTTTTTCACGTTTGGGAAAGGAGTTAACTTTTTTTGGCTTGTCAAGAATTTTTCTAGGTTTGATTTATTTAGAGAGGAAATGTAATGAATTGTCCCCTTAAAGCCGTTTTAACAATAGCAATCCTGAAAATATCAGCAAGAATCAACATGAGATCGATTCGTATCAAATTAGTGCTGCAACATACATCTGATAAATGACCACCGATATTTTGAAATTAATTATCAAATTATTTTCACGCCATTTAAGACACAACTGAATGCTATACTGATCTTGAAAACAATTACAGAATACAATGAGCTTACTGTTTGTACATGCATCACGAACGTAAATATATATGGGTCAGACTAATCTCAGTAAACGGACAAAAAATGTCATCCAATCATTTTTTTTTAATTTCTATTTAACATAGGTAAGAAAAATATATTTGTCATTTGTTTTATTTAATCTTATTAATCATAAATATTTAAGAAAACAATTATATTTTTACAAAAATAAGTCTGCCAAACTTTTTTTTTTTGGTAATAAATCTAAAGAATGTTGAATCATATCGTTTGCTGCATACTGATTTTCTTTAGATAGATTTGAAAAAGAATTTAATTACGAATTCATATTGACTAATAATTTTTTTAATGTTTTAAAATAGAAGGGAAGTAAAAGTTGTTAATCATAGGTGTATCAAGCATCCCTTAATTTTTAAAAAACCTAGATTTATTTCTTGTTCATTATGTTCAATAGATATTAAATATCCATTTCCTACCCAACACATTTTAAGACTTTACAAGGGATACACTAACTTCCGGTTAGGCTTATAGTGTATGATAAAACCAGAGACTTTCGAGTAAAAGTTCTCAGGCTGTCTTCAACCTCGCGGCCTTAGGCTTGGCATGAGGTCCGACAAAACGCATGTTGCACTCGAACCCATAAATGTACATGAATAATTATTATTACTGTGCTTCATATTTATTTGGGGGAGGGGGATTCAAAAGTATCTGAACGATAGATTTAAAAAATATACTTTAACTATTATAATAATGAAAAACTTAATATGTATATAATATACAATTATGGACTCTTTCGGTGGTGAATATGGTTTGTTATTCACCAGAAAAATATCAATATTGACCGAGGCGAAGCAGAGGTCAATATTGATATTTTTCTGGTGAATAACAAACCATATTCACCACCGAAAGAGTCGATAATTGTTTTATTATATAGTCCGGATTTGAATAAATAAGACATTGAAGGATGCATGATGATACCACTTCCATTTTTGAACTTCTGTCGTAGAAATTTTTTTAAAAAATGTCCAGATTACAAATTATAACTTCCGTGTTTTCCTTTTGCTATTTGTAAGACATCGTAATGTTTAGAAAATAACCCTGCGATAGGCTTGACTAATGTTTTTCCTACTCATAAACACAGCTGGCTCCGGCGTTGCAACCATTGTTTACAACGTTGTTTGAGGTGTTGATTGTGACGTCACAATGCCGCTGCACGCGCACCGACCCTCCGGTGAATACGGCTTCAAAACCAGTGAATATGTAGTGTTATGAACTGTTTGCGTTTGTATAGATTATATAGGGACTATAAATAGACTATGCAATTAATATCGTTTCTGGTACACTTAAAGATTTTAGTATACAATATACAACTTCAAACCCCCCCCCCCCCACCCACCCACAAAAGCCACCTAATAATACAGTCTAATCAAAGCCCCAAAACGGAGTATACCCTCCAACGAAGGTTTTTACGTCCCATCATGCAATGCGCAAGAAGACTCTTGTCGTATCCAATATAAACAAATGCCCATATCATCTATCTCGGAAAAATAAAACGATAATGTTGTTATTTCTGCTATGAACTTGATAAAATGTCAACAGAAAAATAAACAGGTTAAGTTATCCATAATTTGAATTTATACTGTAGGAATAACGAAATATTTTCCGTCATTTCATCATATACATGTAATTTATTAATTATGCGTGTCTTTTCAACTTAGATATTTTTAAATTATGGAATTCAAAACACAAGGGAAAATATTCTAAGAATGAGGAAAATGTTTATTTAAAATCTAGATTTAAATAAAGTAAAATAAAATATACATGTAATCGTGTTTTTCACCAAACAACCGTTTTTATTAAAAACAAAAAACAAATTGCCATACATTTTATTTATTTCTTATAAGATATAAAAGACAATAAATACGATAAATTGCATTTGAATTTTATTTTTAACTGTATTCTTGTTATACTTCCTTAGCATGATTATCGATATAAAAGACCGCCGATTGCTAGTCAGAGGAAACGTGGACTGAAACCCACGATTATGAATAAATTGATATAAACACTTGTAACATTTTCGTGCATTTTATTATGAAAATAAAAGATACAAAGTAGAATATTATATTTCTTTTATAATTTCAATTTAATATTAGTTGTTTTTGTCTGTTTATCAAATATTTTATCGTAAATACCTGAATATCAAGGAGCAAAAGATCGCCAACTTTCAGTGAAATAAATCCCGAATTGTACTATAAAGTTATATTTTTGTAAAATACAAACTCATTTAATCTATTATCTCCGAGTGGTTTTACATTTGCAAAATGATCCGTGCACCGGCATTTTTTGTAAACCTCCACTTTTTGCGTGATATACGCACATTTTAAGTATCTGTGCATGCTCGTATCCCCTTTTGGGGGTAGCGTTTTCCTATTTCCATTTACTCCGTTTTGAGGAATAGTTATTGTTTTGTTTTTCTATTTGGACAATTAATTCACATTTTGTTAACCTATGCGTGCACGGGTTTATGTCTAGTTGGTATAAGTGGTATAAACACAAGGGCCATTAACATACTCTGCTGGATTTTACATGATCACTATATATACAACAAGGAAAAGGGAACTGGCGTAGGTCTGGAATCAACTTAAAAACACTCCGTATTTTCAATAAAATACCTTGCAGCCAATGACAAAACGACTGTAATCGTTCAGCAATAATAAATATGTAATATAAATGTTATCAGGATCACTCACGAAGCATTTAAGCCGTGTTTCACAAACCCGATATCCTGTCATACAAGTTGATGTAGTTTAAGTCGTTTAAGATCGCTCAATACTGCATCCGAGATTTAACGCGGGACGTGATTGGTCAACAATGTTTATCTAGAACATTTTTGACCAATCACTTTACGCCTTCCAGCTTGCATGGGGTTTCCCAAAATGTTGTCCGTTCTCAGCTTGGGTCTTACTGTATACGAAAAAAGCCATCTGATTCTTTAAATCTGAGGTACGATGTTTTGACGCAGATAATATGTTTTACAGTGTGACCTTTGGGGTGTGCGCAGTCAAAAACCTTTTACACAGCTTACACTTGTAACTTTAATCCGCCTCTTTAAACATCAAATACATGTAGTGATCATGTACATCAACTCACATGACTGGATATCGACTTAGTATAATCCAAATTAAACGCTATTTTATAAATGAATGAAGTTACATTTTTATTACAGAATAATTATTGAAGTATTTTTGATGAAGAATTTTAAAATCATAGACAGTTCAAGGTCATTTTCTGATAGTGATACCCCCAACACCAATGATAGTCTACAACGTCATCCCAGTGGACGCAAATGAGTGTATTAAAAACTGTATAGGAATGCCTTTCCACTGTAAATGTAGAGCTTGGGTAAGCTGTTGCAGATTTTGGGGATGCGGTTGTCTTTGGCTGCTATGCCTATCCATTTTTTCAATGGATACTCAATGGGGTTTAAATCTGGCGATTTACAGGGCAAGGCAGAACAGGATGCTGTGACTTTGCAAGAATGTGCTTGTCAAACGAGCCGTATGTGGCTCTTCATTGCCAAATTGAAATACGGCTCCAGGATGCTGCATAATTGGAAAGAATTGTGCAGGTAGGACATTGTCAGAGTACCTTTGTGATGTAAAAGTGCTTTGAATATGAACCAAATCAGTCCTCTTTGTGTACAATACCGTTGTCCACATCATTACACAACCACCACCAAATCTACATGTACAAACCTCCCGAAAGCAGTTTTCTGCAAAACTTTCGTCACGAAGCGTATGCACTCTTGACTTTTCCATCAGGCTTTGCAACAAAAGGCCCATGGGCCATATCGCTCACCTGAGCACAATGGCTAGGAACAAGAGGCCCAAGGGCCACATCGCTCACCTAGGCACTGTGGCTAGGAAAAATCAGTTTAGTATTGAAAAGCTTAAATGCATAAGTGGTCTCAACCTATTCCTAAAAAGGGAGGGGG